ACGCCCCATTGAAAGACGAGCGACCCATCTGCCTGCAACTGTTGCGAGGGCCCCGCTTTGACAAAGAACTGCCCTACATACATATTGGGGGAATGAAAGAAAGGAAGCGTCCCAACGATAGCCCCGTAGAGGGGCCGCCCTTCGTCCATGTAGCGGTTGTACAGCTTTGCAGTTCTGCCCATGGCCGCGGAGGAATTACCAAACGAGAGTACAATTTTGAAAAAAAGAGGCGGGTGCCTTCCAGATACTTTTCGTCGGCGATGTACTTCAAGCCGTAAGAGGTGCATAAGCCGAATGCGCAGCGGCTTCACCCCACCAGCTGCGCTTGCTGGCTTGCCAGCCGAGACAGCGAGGGCAGCGGTGCTCCCCCTGGACGCCCGCCTGGCCGCGCTGGCCGCCGTGGCCCAGCAGGCGCCCCCCTTGCCGCCGCTTCCTGACCCCGCCGCGGAGGAGCTGCCGCACGGGCGGGCCCGCGCCTGGACCGACGGCTCTTGCCTGCCCAGGGGGCCCCCTGCTCGCCCGCACGGGATGGGGCGCGAGGTTGGAGGGGCTCCCCGTCGGGCGCATCGACCGCCACGGCCAGGTTGACAGGCGGCAGACCGCGCAGCGTGCCGAGCTGTGGGCAGCGGTGCAAGCGTGCAGCCTTGCAGGGGCCCCCCTCGACGTCGTCACGGATTCCCGATTCTTGAGTCGCGGGGTCGCCGCGCTTCGGGGAGGCGCGAAGGCGACGAACTGGCCGCACGCTGACCTTTGGGAAGCAATCGCGCCGCACTGCCGCAGCGGGCTGCTGCGGGCCCGCTGGGTCAAGGGCCACCCGGACCAGGCGGAAGCCGCCGCTCGCGGCATCGCCGAGGCGGACTGGGCTGGCAACGCAGCTGCGGACAGGCTCGCCGACGCTGGGGCGCGGGCCCAACGCCCGCCCCTCGACTTGCGCCAGCGGCGGGCGCAGCAGCTGGACGCGCTCGAAGCGCTCCAGCGCGCGGCGGCGGCGGCGGTGGAACTGGCCGCTCTCAAAGCGAACCACGGCCCCCGCCCAGGCGGACCCAGGGTGCGGCGACGGTGGGCCGCGCCAGGGCACCGCTGGAGGCGCGCGCCCCGCGTCGGGGACGCAGCCGCTGTGGCTGCGGCCGCGGCGCTGTCGCCGCAGAGCGGGATGGCCGCCCCCCCAGCGCCCGCGGCGGCGCCGCGCCCAGGGGCAGCCGCGGCGGCGCGGACCCTCTTCGCAGGCCGCGCCTGGCTGGCGCACACGGCGTCCCAAGGCCCTGCCTGGGTCTCCTGCTTTCGCTGCAGGTGCTGGGCGCCGACGTGGCCGTTGCTGGCCTGCCGCCCGTGCGGCGGGTGGGTACCCGCGTTGCCGCCGCGCGCGGGCATGCTGCTGTTGCTGCCAGCAGCGCGCGCCGGCGGCAACGAGACGACCTGGCGCGCCGTCCTCAGGGACTGGCTGGCCGCGCGCCCTGGCCCGCCTGACTGAGGTGGCGCGGCGCCGGGCTGGCGAGGACGCTTGCTCCCTCGCCCCCCCTTTCCCTCCTCTCGTCGTCGTCGTCGTCCGTCGTCTCCCCCTCTCGCCGCTGGGCTCCGCTGCGATGGTAAAAGTGTAATGGTTGGGAGGCTAAAAGCCGAATGCGCGACTATCAAACACGGTGAGGGAATCTCAGGCGGAACGTCTGGCCCGCCTTACAGCCGCGTCTGGTGGTGCGGCGAGGGGAATTCATATAAGGAGGTGGGATGCAGGACGAGGCAGGAGGATGAGGAAGGAGGAGGTATCTGAAGAGTTCGGTGGATGCTCAACTGCTTGTTCGCTCGCATCGGAGATGTGTATGGAGAGGGGCAGTATTTTCGCTAGAGGGGGGGTGGATGGATTGAGGGAGGGAGGGAGGAGGACGAGCGAAGAGGTACGAGACTGGTATTTCAGGAGGTTTGCTCTGGTTCGAGCGGGTTCTCAACGGTTCTTGGGGTCACAATTGTGTTTAAAGGGAGATGGGACGGAGGAAGGAGGACTGAGAAGGGAGGAGCGGGGACGGGCGAGGAGAAGGGTGAAGGGGAGCTGGAGGGGGACGGCGGAGGAAACGGAGGCAGGATGGCCACAGAGATGGATGAGGATAACGAGGAAGCGGATTGACGAAACCGAGTTAGACGACGAGGATGGGGAGGAGGAGACGGGAAAAGAAGAAAGGACGACTGTGGGGAGGATGAGGGCGGCAAAAACGAGAAAAGAGTGGAACGGCAGGGAAGGATGAGACCGACAAGGCAGAGGAGGAGGAGGAGGGGGCGGGGTGGAATGAGAAGACAAAGGATGATGAGGTACAGGAGGTGGAGGACCAGACGGGACGAGGAGGAATATAAGGACGCGCACGACGAAAATATGAGGAAGGGGATCTGACGAAGAGGAGGAGGAGGAATAACCAGAGGATACGGATGGCGAGGAGCAGGAATACCATGCGTAGAATGGGAAGACGACAACGCGACGGAGGGGGCATTGAAATAGGATGAAGCGGGGGAACGAGGTGGAGGAGGAGGAGGAGGAGGAGGAGGAGGAGGAGGCGATGGAGGAGGGAGGGGTGCTGGGCCGCCACGCGGCCCCCCCTTGAGCCGCAGCCGCGGATCGATAAGAGCTCGACCGCACCAGCGCTGCTGCCGCGAGCGCGGTAAGGTCCCTTTTTCTAGCTCTTCCAATCCCGTCCACTCCTCCTCCGTCCCTCCTCCCCCTCTCCCTCCTTCCTTCATCTTCCTGCCCCCTGCTCCTCCTCCTCCTCCTCCTCCTCCTCCACTTCATACCCCCGCCCTCCTCCTCCTCCTCCACCTCCTCCTCTTCCTCCTCTTCCTCCTCCTTATCCTCCTCATCCTCGTCCTCCCCCTCATCCCTCCCCCTCATCCCTCACCCCTCCTTCTCTCTCTCCCCCCTCCCTGCCTCCTCTTGTCCCCTCCTCCTCATCCTCCTTCTCCTCCTCCTCCCCCTCCTCCTCTGCTGCTCCTCTGCTGCTCCTGCTCCTCCTCCTCCCCCTCCTCCTCCATTATTTTTCCTTATATGTAATTTCTCCCTGTCGCACCCCGAGGCCAATTTTTAGGACCGGCGGGGCGTTTCGTCTGAGACTTCCTCACAACTTACGATTCTGAAGTTTAAATTTGGCAGCAGTTTGGCATATGGAGGGCGGGTGGTTTTCAAAACGTGGCTTTCGCCTCAGCGCCGCGCACATTCTTTCTAACAAGTTGCAAGAGTTTCACGGATCAAAGATAACCCGTGTTCAAAATGTGGCTCTCGCCTTATCGTTAGCGCCGCAAGCATTCGTTCTGAAAATTTGCAGGAGTTTCACGGGTTGAAGGCGGTTTCTCTTCAAATTGTGGCTCTCGCCTTAGCGCCGCGCGCATTCGGTCTAAACATTTGCACGAGCTTCACGGATTGAGGGCGGTTCTTTTCAAAATGTTGCTCTCGCCCTAGCGCCGCGCACATTCGTTTAACAAAGTTGCAGGAGTTCTGCGGATTCCCACGATCAACGTACCAGAATGGCGTTTTGGAAGGAATCCAGAATTTGCGGGCGCAGCAGTTGTACTGATTCGCGGTGTTGAAATCCCAAGAATGGCGTTCTGGCACGATCCAGGATCGTCAAGGCGCAGCAATCAGGTTGATCCATGGCGTTGGAATCCCGAGAACAATGTGTTGGCATGCTTCCCGGTCTTCGTACGAGGCAGATCCCTCCATGGAAATGAACCGTGGTAGGGGCCTGTGGAGAGGGAGCTTGGAGGGAGGGTGTATTCCAACATCGTTGATGGCTCTTGGGTTTACACTGGTCTTCCTTCTCCTCCTCCTCCTCCTCCTCTTCCATTCCGGCTCCTTATAAGTAGCTTCTCCCTGTCGCACACCGAGGTAAGTTTTTAGGGCGGGCAGGGCGTTTCGCCTGTGCCACTTACAACTTCACAAATGGAGGGCGGGTGGCGCGGGTGGTTTTCAAAATGTGGCTCTCGCCTTAGCGCCGCGCGCAATCGTTTAAAACAATTGCAAAAGTTTCGCGGACTGAGGATAACCCGTGTTCAAAATGTGGCTCTCGCCTCAGCGCCGCGCACAGTCGTTTAAAAAAATGCAAGAGACCTTCACGGATTGAGGGCGGTTCCTTTCCAACATGTGGCTCTCGCTGTAGCGCCGCGCACATCCGTTCATAACATTTGTGAGGGTTTCACGAGTTCCCACGGTTAACGTACCAGAATACATGTTTTGGAAGGATTCCAGATTTTGCGGGCGCAACAACTATACTGATGCGCTGTGTTGAAATCCCAAGAATGGCGGTCTGGCACTATCCAGGATCGTCAAGACGCAACAATCAAATTGATCCGTGGCGTTGAAATCCAGAAAAACTGTTTTGGCATGCTTCCGGGTCTTCAAACGGTTGTCTTCGAACGAGGCAGATCCCTCAAAGGACATGAACCGTTGCAGCGGCCTATGAAGAGGGAGCTTGGAGGGAGGGTCGATTCCAACATTGTTGCTGGTTCTTGGGTTTACACTGGTCCTCCTCCTCCTCCTCCCTTCCTCCCTCCCCCTCCTCCTCCTCCTCCTCCTCCCTCTTCCTCCTCCTACGCTCCTCCTACGCTCCTCCTCCTCCTCCTCCTCCTCCTCCTCCTCCTCCTCCTCCTCTGCTCCTCCTTCTCTGCTGCTCCTCCTCTACTCCACCTCCTCCTCGTCCTCCTCCTCCTCCTCTCAAGCGCCGTTCTGGTACAAGCCTTTTGGCCAGGCGCCCCTGGGCTGGACCAACTTTGCTGTGCCGCTTGAGGGCCTCTTTCTCCAGAGGTCAGCGCAGGGGACGTCTCCTCTCTTCCTCACGATCCCATCTCGTGCTCGAAGCAATGATGGGAATTGCTCGCTTTGGACGTGCCGATCGTGCGGTTGCAAACGCAATGAAGCATCCTGGGTCTGGTACACGCACTGCAAGACACCGTGGTGGAGGTCGCCTTCTTCCGCCATCTCGGGCAACGCAGATGCTCTTGCTGACGGGCCTCCTGATGCCCACGATTCAGTCCTTCCTCGTATGCCAGGTCCCCAGTCCTCGGCCGCGGAGCCTGCGGCACCGACGACGCCGTCTACTGAGGCAAAGCAGCAATCTGAAGCAGAGGCCAAGCGCCCATTTCGAGCCCAAGCCGAAACCATTTCAGCGTCTTCCAATCCTGCCCCCCCCCCGCTGGAGTCTCCGACAATTGAGGGGAAACGTGAACTATAATCAAGGTGAGTCGGGATCCCTGGGCGGCTGGGCTCGTGGAGTCTCGAAGTTTTGACAGCGTCTGCAGATCGGCACGGGTTTAGTTGAGTCCGTGGTGAGGCGGAGCCCACGGTTGGCTCCATCCCCTACTCCTTCGGACCCTCCTCCTCCCCCTCCCGAAGACTCGGGTGACTCTAGAGACTCGTTGGAACTCAATTTTGTTTCGGCCAAAGTCTCGGGGTGGGGCTCGGGAAATAGCGTCCTGTCCGCTTCGTCTGCCCATGTCGTGTCCATGCAAGAGCATCATGTGGTGGATCCCGCTAAATTTGCTGAGGTCAGCCAGCGGGCCGTGCGCAGATAGTGGCGGTCCCTGTCGGGCCATGCGTCTCCTGAGAAAAGGATTGGTTCCCGTGGTGGGGTGGCGGTCTTCACTAGGGCCTTCCTGGGTCTCCATAAGTACGCGGGGCTCCCTCCCAACGAACCAGACAAGATCCTCTCGGACATCGTGTGCGTCCCTGGGGGAATCCACGCGTGTGTGACTTCGGTTTGTTTGTATGTTGGCCAGGGCATGTCTGACGCTTCTTGCGGATGCTGGGCCCGCTGCCGTTTCGGCTTCTCTCCCGTGGATCGTGCGCGGGGTCTTCAATACGCCACCCCACAACCTGCGCGACCACGGGCTTACAAAGGAGCTAGGTGGCTCCGCTGTTGTTCCTGATTGCTCTGGCACGGTCCAGACTGCGGGGGGCCTTCGCGGTGCTGTCAGTGACCTTTCTGCGCTTCTCGTGCTGCGGCTGCTGCGCACTGTGGTGGCTGCTGGGACGGTTCGAAGCTGCAAGAACTCGGATGAGAAGGCGATCTTGTCCTCTGAGGGCACGAAGACGGCGATGCTACGACTCCTCCCGCCCTCTGGGCGTCTTTGGAGTCCTGGCCGCAGGTCGCGGAGGCCTTCGTCCTGCCTTCCTTGATGGCCCGCGCGCGAGCCGGGACCGACGGGGCGACCGACGAGGCGACGACGGTCCCGCCCCTCTTCGGCCTTGAGCCAAAATGGCTTGAGCCAGAATGGCTACGGACCCCTCCTCCTCCTCCTCCTCCTCCTCCCCCTCCTCCCTCCCCCTTCTTTTCCGACTCGCCTCCGCCTCTCGCCTCTCCGTCCTCCTCGCCGCATCCTCCCCTTCCTTTCTCCCCCCACCACCCACAGCCTGAATCCAGGAGGGCTGGGGGAGGCCGAAAGAGGTGGAAAACTTCCAGGACCCCTCTCCCTCCGAGACCAATTCCTTCCTGCTGCGGAAGGGTCCTTCGGCGTCTTCAGAAGCAGGGAGCTCAGCTGCTCCCCAAAGCCCTGCAGGAGGCCCCCGGTGGTGGGGCCGCCGCCGCCGCCGCCGATGTAGCCTGAAGGGGCCGCTGGGAGGAGGGAGGAGGGAACCCTCCTCCTCTTCTCGCCTCTTCACTCCTCCTCCCTCCTCCTCCCTCCTCCCTCTTTTTCCCCCCCTCTTCCCCCACCTCCCTTCCTCTTCCCCCCTCCTTCTCTCCTCCCTCCTCCTTCCTCTTCCTCCATCCTCCCTCCTCCCTCCTCCGCCCGTGTCCTCCTCCTCCTCCTCCTCCTCCTGGTCCTCCTTCTACCCCTCCTCCCTCCTCCTTCCTCCCTCCTCCCTCCTTCCTCGTTTTCCCTCCTCCCTCCTCCCTCATCCCTCCTCCTTCCTTCCTCCTCCTATCTCCTCCCTCCTCCCTCCTCCCTCCGCCTCCCTCCTCTTGGCTCCCTTCCTCCTTCCGCCCCCCCTTCTCCTGCTCCCTCCCTCCCTCCCTACTGTTATTATGCCTCCGTCCCTCCTTGGCTCCTTCCCTCCTCCTATTCCTCTTCCTCCACGCCATCCTCTTCCTCATCAGCATAATCATCATCAGCAGCAGCATCATCACCACCCCCGCCATCAGCAGTACCATCATCATCCTCAGCATCATCATCACCATCATCATTACCAGCACCAGCATCGTCATCCTCATCATCATCGTCATTATCACCACCCTCACCATCACCATCAACATATTCACCAACATCATCGTCGTGATCACCATCACCACCACCACCACAATCATCATCATCATCATCACCATCCTCATCATCAGCAACATCTCACCATCGCCATCATCATCCGCAACAGCATCGGCATCACCATAGTCATCATCAACATCGTATTCGTGGCCATCACCATCACCACCACCGCCAGCATCAGCATCAGCATCAACATCACCGTCACCAGCATCATCATCAGCATCGTCATCATCGTCATCACCATCAGCATCATTGTCATTATCATCATCATCAGCAGCATCAGCATCATTCACATCAGCTGCATCGTCATCATCCTTACCAGCAGCAGTAGCAGCATCAACATCAACATCATCATCACCCTTACCACCACCAACACCGTCACCATCATCAACACCAACACCACCATCTTCAACACCAACAACACCATCAACAACATTAGCAGCAGCAACAGCAACAACAACAACAATCACCACAACCACAACCACAACCACAACCAAAACCACAACCACAACCCAAACACCACCACCACCAGCAACAACAACAACAACCAAAACGACTGATGTTGTTTCCCCCGCTGTCCGTCTCCAGGGGCCCTGATCGGCTCTGGGCCCGTCAAGAAAGACTCGTGATGAAAATCTGCCACCGTGCAGCGAGGCACTGAAAAAGGAGTGTCCTCAGGTCCCGCAGGGGTCTCAATACTGAGCAGTGGGAGTGCTCTTGAAGGGGGCTGAGCCCCGGATTCTTTTTGCGGCGCGTGGGCCTGGGGGTCGATCCTCGAGACCTGCGTGTGAACGCGTTGTTTTTTCAACCAATTCCAAATACAGTACTGTTTTGCCCGCCTGCCATGAACTACCCGACAGCCCAAGAGAATCTGGGAGCCTCGGGCGCTGTGAGCGTTCTGGGCAAATGCGACTACGGAGACATGCCCCTTCCCTCTACAAAGCGCAGCAGCTGCATGACCCATTTACCAGCCACTAGCACCGCCCGTGCTGAGCTTGGCCCTGGATGCTTGGGCCGATCCTCTACCACGCAATGCGAATGCCAACTGGGCGCCGCAGAACCTGCTGCACGCGCGGCGACCAGCGCCCTGCTGGCTCCCTCAACACAGAGCCCAGGCTGGAGTGCGAAACACCTCTGTGAAATGGGAGACGCAGCCAACAAGTATTGGCTCGGTGGCAGCCTCGGAGTGCAAATGGGATCGCACTCTACTTGCGCAGCTCTGTCCAACGCTGCCTGCGAGAGGCAGAAGAGTGAGAACTTCAGAAACTTGCTCTGCTTTGCCGTTTTCAACGAACTGTAGTTTGTGCTTCCCTGACGGATCCTGTGGATCTCGGCAACGGGCCAGCTACGATTAAGTGATTCAGGATGGTTCGATGTACTGCCGAGTGGTATCTTTTGCTCGCTTGGGTTTGGCCTGGGGGTCGATCCTCGAGACTCGAGGCCTGGGCCCCTCGAGCGGCGCAAGCGAGGGCGCCCCTCCGCGGGCGGCTGCTGGGGCCGCGGCGGGCGAGCTCGGTGCTCACGACGCCGGGGTGCACGGCGTTGGCAGCCAGGGGCAGCCCCAGCCTGCGGCAGCGCCTGCACAGCTCGCGCACATGATGTCTGCAGCTGAACATGGTGGAACTACGCACGTTGTTGTTGATGATTACGCCAATGCTGGTCCTTCTTACTATAAGTATGCCGATTGTCCTTTCTCCTCTTTTCATTATCCTCCATCTCCCTATCATTACTCTTTCTCTTATTGTTGTTATGGTTATGCCCCTTCTTATCATTATCATTGTTCTTCTGGTTCGTAGTATTGCTTTCCCCCTCTCTCTCACCATATATCTCTCTCACACCATGTATACAATATGGAGCTCTAGTGTATGGAAGGCGCACTTCGACGAAGAGGAAACGTGAGGAGGACAGAGCGCAACCATCCCACAGCTGGCCCGGCGTCAGAACGAGAAGCAAAGAACTCGAACTGTGACGCAAAGGTGCCTGGCTCGCTGGCTCGCTCACGAGTGGCGAGGAGCGCCCCTGGCTGCGGGACACAAGCACTGGGCACAACTCCACGTGCACGAAAACTCCCGCCACATGCGGACGCAAGTGATCAATCTACGGAAGATTCAACCGATAAGAAACCTCACCGTGAGAAACCTATGGGATCTTGTGTCGTAGGTGTTCAAACTTCCTGACGTGTTCCAAGGCTTCTGTGGGTCCCCAAGGCCATCGGGAGATAAGAAATCCTGGATGGGCCGGCACCTGCTGGCAAGCCGCTTTCTCACTTGATATGCCCACTGTCAGCGCGTACTGTACGATGCATGGAAGCAGCCTGCGCGCAGCCAAGAGCAACATGACAACCTATGATATGTGCTGGGTACAGAAAGGAGGCGAGCGATGCCGATCCGGCCGTCCGTCTCGCCGCATCCTAAATGACTCAGCGCGAATGGCAAGGAGAAGCAAGACGGGGAGAAGAAGGGGAGGATCAAGGTCTTGGAACGGTTTGGGTGCATTTGGGGCTCTGGGAACCTCTGAAAGCCTCTCAGGAGACATCCAAGGACGGAGGAGCACGAGGAAGAGGAGGCATGTGGTGGAATATGTCGACCCCTGAGTGCCGGGAGTGAAAAGGCGCGTGAGACAATTGGCTGTCCCCCTCCCCGTTTCCAGCCCCACCAGAAATCCGTACTGCCGGTTGAGGAGCAAGCGTGGGGGCAAGATCAAGCAACATCGAATCAGTAAACCTGATCGAATCGAACTGAACATCGGATCCGGCTGCATCGACACGGAATCGACATCGAATCGTATCGGCTGCGCCAGGACGCACAACAGCGCCATGCAATCGTCGGGCCGCGTCGAAATGTCGGAATGTAGGAAGGAATCGAATCGGATCGGGCTGGCCGAACCCGATATCGAATCGGATCGTTCGGACCGAAATGGACCCCGGGGGGACGTGGGGGGCGACACACTTCCAGGCGCACCTTCTGCGCCTTCCGAGCCTCCAGATCAAGCCTCGGACGCCTGCAAGGTGCCCAAGAAGCAGCTCCAACGCGTCCACGGGGCCCCGATGATAGTTCGGGAGGCCCTGAGGGACCCCGCACGCTGCGCACGCTTCCCGAGGCACTGCAGTTGCGCGCTTGCACGTGAATTATTACATGGATTATGTTGCACATGTGTACAAGTCAATCTTGCCGATGTGCGATCCAGGCGAGGCTCTGCGAGTGCACTCGTAAGAGACGCCGAGAACGCCGAAAGAGGTCCCAAGAGAGCGGGATAGAGAGAGAGAGAGACAGCGAAAGAGAGAGAGACAGAGAGAGAGAGAGAGAGAGAATCCAGACACCCCAAATCAAGCAAACATACGGTTTGCACATTTTGGCTATCTCGCCTCATCTCTTCCTAGCACTCCCGCGAGGGTCCAGGAAGTATCCCGAAAGCCCCTAGGCAGCCCCAACTGCCCCCACACGCATACATTAAGCTCCAGAACGGCTACAGACCGCCCAATAACAGCCCAAGGACCCTAAAGGGGAGCTATGATTTCCCCAAGTGGACCAAGAGTCCTGGGGACGCTCTAAAAGAACAGCCGTGGGACCCAGGGTTGAGGCGGGATGACGAGAAGGAGAGGAAGTGCAGGAGGAGCAGCAACAGAAGCATCAGCGGGGAGATGGGGAGAGGGGGGGACGATAGAATCGGCGATGCATCGCCGATAGATTGGCAATAGGCTCCCGGTAGCGAATCCGCACGCTCCTGAGCGGGTGGGGCTATCGGGCCCCAGTTGGACATGAATGGGCGATTGGGGGTCGATGCGTCCCCGCCTGAGCCACCCGGTCGATCCTCCCCGCCATGAGGGGGCGGGGCTGGAAAGGAGAGCGGGAGAGAGAGGGAGAGAGGGAGAGACTGTGACGAGCAGCAGGAGGAACATGAGGGCTGAAGCAGGAGCGGCAGCGCCTGTCCAGCTCGTAGACGAAGAGCAGATTCGCGAGCTTGGACTGGCCGTATGCGCTCCAGGCGGTGTACCGCTCGGACTGCAGGTCCTGGGCAGCAGCGACAACTTTATATCACTGATCTACTTCAGCGCGTTATGCCTGAAGAAGCACCAGGCTTCCGGACAGCGACGAAGGAGTAACGTGCTGACGGGCTCACAACGGCAGCGTGTCATTGACACTCCTTTTCCTCCCGCGGTCCCCGAGGTCTCCCTGCAACAAGGGGGACGGCATCTGGTGCGCGGAAGAGCTGAGGCTGATGAGGCGCCCGGGGTCCGACCACGAGCTGGACGACACGAGGGAGTCGAGCAGCAGGTTGGCCAGCAGAAAGTGGCCGAGGTGGTTGACGCCAAACTGGTACTCGAAGCCATCGGCCGTCAGCTTCCGATCAGGAAGCGCCATCACGCCCGCGTTCAGGATCAGGGTGTGCAGCGGCAACCGTAGCTTCAAGAACTCCGTGCTGAAATTGCGCACCGACTCCAGGCTGTCCAGCTCCAGGCTCATATGCCGCAAATCCACCGGGCCTGTGCCCGGACCGAGTGCCCCGCGAAGCCCATCCAGGGCCCGCCGGTGCTTGTCCGCGTCGCGTCCAGCCAGGATGATGGTGGCATAGAGGCCCGAGCGAGCCAGACCTTGGGAGACAATATAATATCGCCACCGCTGAACCCACGACCTCTCCCCGATCAGGACTCCAGTGCGAGCCCAGCCGTGGCGAAGAAGGCCCAAGCGAAGGGCGTCGGTACCGCGCGACTGCTCCGCATGTCATGATAAGAGTGAGGGGGTCATGACCCTCCCAGACGGGCAATTCTAGGTAGAACCCACTCCAGGCCAGCCATGAAAGGGCGGCCATCTACCCTAACCTCCTGGAACCATTGCAACCAGCTCAAGCCAGGCCCCCCAGAACGAAATCAGACTCTTCACATCTGCAGAAAGTCTGGAGTATTCTTCTCTGCCCTGAAAGCCTTCCGCGGTCGCGAGCCCCACGCCCGTGGACGCGCCGGTGATGATGGCCACCTTGCCGCTCGGCCCTGAGCTGGCGGCCGCCTCGCCCCTGGGGGCCGCCGGTGCGTCTAGCTGCTCGACAGCCGCGGCGGCTCGCCGCAGGGCCTGCGGCGGCCCGGCAGCTGCGGGCGGCTGGCGGCGGGCGCGGATGGACGTGCCAGGAGACGCTGGTGGTGCCAGCGCACCTCCCGGGCATTTTTTCGAGCGCACGCTGACACGGATGCACAAATTCGGTGGACCTGGCGCGCGGCCGCCAGATCCACGGATCGGGGAGCGCAGCCCACGAAACATGGCAACGACGCCGCCTGATTTGGCAACGAAGCGCGCCGATGTCGCATGGAAGCGGAATCCGTCGCTCATCCATGCGCCTTAGTCCGTGTTTGCTAGTCCTCGGTGTTCTAACAAGAAGCGCAACATTGATGAAGCCTGAATCCCGTGAGCTTTTGTCTCTCGAGGCGCGGAGCTGCGGTGGCGTGAGACCCAAGCCTCCCCCCCCTAGCGGCCGAGCGCGTCCCCCAGGCGCGGATCGACTGTTGTCGAGACGTGGCCCCCCCCTGGGTGCCCCCGAACCTCCCCACCTCCTCCACCAAGCCACCGCGCCGCCACTTAGAGCGCCCCCGCTGTCGTCGACGCCGTCCCCGCCACGGTCGTCCTCGTCACCGTCGCCGCCGCCACCGCCGCAGGGCACCCACCGCCCAGGACGCCGCGCTGCCGCCCAGCACGCAGAGGGCCCAGGCGGCGGTGGCCGCCGCCGCGCGGGACGCCGCGGGCGCGCGCCGCGACCGCGCGGTGCCCGCGGCCATGGCCGCGTGCGCGCGGTGGGTCCCCCCCGCCCCGTGCCGTTGGCGGCCTGCAGGTCGCGCGCGGGCCTCGCACCCAGCTTGCCTCCTCGCCTTCTCTTCCACCCTCCTGCCCCCATCCCTCCCTTCTCCTCCTCTCCTCCCTCCTCCTCCGCCCGCGCCGCGCGAGGAGCGGGTCGTGGTCCCGATCGCCCGCGGCGATCACGATGGTGAGGATCGACTCGGATCTGCGCTTGTGCCTCAGGGCGCAGCCTGCAGAAACTGCAAACAGAAGCGCGTTCGCTGGTAATACCGTCAACAGTCCACTCTTTGATACCTCCTGGAAAGCCTCTGTCGCCACGGCTGGCGCCTCGAGCTCGAAATCAAAGTCTCCCCTTGAGAGGTTTGGGTGCGACGAGGAGGAGGAGGAGGAGGAGGAGGAGGAGGAGGAGGAGGAGGAGGGGGAGGAGGAAAAGGAGGAGGAGGAGGAGGAGGAGGAAGTTCATTGATGAGCTTGAGGATCGGCGGCGCGCCCACGGGGGTGGAAGGCGGAGGGTGCGGGCCTTCTCAGACGGCTCAGAAGGCTCCTGGCCGACTGAATAGCTTTCTAAGCCGTCTCGGAAGCCACAGAGGGCCTTTGAGAAGGTGCGCGGGCTTCCGAGACGTCCCGACTCCTTCTGGGAATGCCCGCCTCCTCTGACTTCCTCCTCGGCGCGCCGCTGGGAGGAGGAATGAAGGAAGGAAGGACGGAAGACCGCCTTCGGATGAGAGGAAGCGGCGCGCAACAGGGGCTGGGGCGAGGGAGGCGGCTACACGCAAGAGTGGCCTTTGGCACACGGCTGTAGAGGGCCGCGGGGAGGTCACGTCCAAGCACCCAAGCCAGTGCCAGGGGGACCCCTGTGAGCACGCACCAGGGGTCGCACTCTAGCGAAAGGTCACTCTCACAACGAGCCGAACGGGGGCCTCTTAACAGGGACCGGCCACCTCTCAGAGTTGGGAGAGGAAGACATCAGATCATGAGCCGAGCGCGGGCTCCGGGGGAACGCGGGAGGGGCCCAGAGAGAGGTGGAGGGAGGGGAGCCCCATAGGCGCACCGACGTGAAGGGCCGAAGGCACGGCATACAGCCACCGTGCTATTATATCACGCTGAATATTTACTCTACAGAACGGTGAATAAGGCACGATGGGACTTTTCTGGTCACGGCAAGCCTCGGCCAAGAATAAGGTCCCTGAGCGCAGAGTGGTCCTCATCTCAGCGTCTTGGCTGTAGAATGCCAAACTGACGACAGAAGCCTTAACTGCCAGACATCTTCGCGGATTTCTTGGGTCGGGGCTGCCCCCCCGCCTTCTGGCGGGAGCTCACGAAACCTGGCCAGGTGTCGGTGTTTCTTGTCTTCCTGGCCTGGAAGCTCCGGAAACCCGGCCAAGCCCAGGAAACCCGGCCTGCGCTGCGGGCGGGCACCAGGTGCCCCAGCGTGCCATCCGAGCGCTGGGCGCCCACGAGGCTCCCACGGGCGGGCACCCGTCGAACCTCTCGGCGTACCACCCCAGGCTCCGGGCGCCCACGAGCGCCCACGAGGCGCCCACGGGCGGGCACCGTGCGATACTCGTCGAACCCCTCCAGCGCGGGGCGCCCACGAGAGCCCGTGAGGCGTCCACGGGCGGGCACCGGGCGAAGCGTCGGTGTACCCATCCAGCTCTTTCAGCAGGGCGAGGAAAAATCTCCCAAGTGCAAGCACGGACTGGCTGGGGAAAAATCGGTGCCCGCGGCGGGCTTCTACAAAACCTCGCAGACTGCCAACAACCCCCTCCGCCCCCTCACTCTTATCCTCAACTGCGGGGGCGATGGTATTTGAGATATGAGGATAGCTGAGCTAACCTCTTCTAGTACTCCGCTGCTCTATCACTTTACCAACCTATCACTCTACTACTCTCTACCACTCTACTGCTCGATACTCTGATGCTCTACGACTGTACGACTTTACAACGCTACCTTCATTGCTCGACTACGCTGCACGCGCAACTTCTATGCGCAACCTCCGTGCACTGCTACTCTACTACTCCACTGCGCTGCGAGCCCGAAATGATTGCCAGCCTTGGGACACGGTTCGTACTCCTGTCTTGTGGGCGCTGACGAACAGCGCAGCATCAGTGAGGGAAGCTTGCGAATAATAGGGCGTGGCAGGGAGGCTAAAGATGCGACGAATGGATCAAAGAAAACATCCAAAGACTTACCCTGGGTTTGGGAACCACCCTTGCGGGCCCCATGGGCGTATACCGGATAGCGCATGCAAGCGACGACTCTCGCCCGTTGGTCGGCCTCTCGCTCCTGCTCCGTGGGAGGCGTCGGGCCGGAGCCGCTCGAAGCTACGCGCCTCGGCCCAAGCCACAGCCACGTGCTGGGCGGACTCGGTCACGGCGCGGCGCGCCGCGCCAATGCTGCCCATCACCGCGAAGCCGGAACCAGACGGATCGAGATCGGCACCTCTTCGCCGGAAGTGCGCACCCGGGTGCTCGGCGCATATGGAGGCACAGGCGGGCTAACTCGCGAACCCGCGCCTCCCAGGGCAGCGGGTCGTAAAGCTCCAGCCCCCTCAGCCTCTTCAGCTGCGTGGCGACCTGCGGCCTGCGCCCCGCCCTCTGGCTGCGCTCGCCCCCGCCAGTGCGCGCCCCGTCTCTGGAGGTCCGGGTGGCCTTAGCGGCCGCGGCCGCGGCGGCGCCGCGAGCGTCCCGGGAGGGGCGGCAGAGAGGACGTCCCGGGAGGCGGGCCTCGGCCTCGGGCCGCCCGCCCCTCCGCCGCCCCGAAGGCCGCGCTGGGGGGCTCCAGGCGGACAGCGGGACGTCGCAGGCAGTTGCCGCCGCGATCGCTCGGCGGCGGGGCTGCCACGGGGCCTGGCGCCGCTGCTCGGCTGCGCGCGGGTGCGCGCGGTCGCCCAGGCGAAGGACTTCGGCTTCGTGCCCGCGACGACGGGGCGACTCCAAGTCTGCGAGGGTGGCCCCAGAGGACGGGTTCTGGGAGATCCATCTCCGTCGTCGAACACTTCGGCGTCCTCGTCTTTGCCTGCGAAGCGCAGCCTGAGTGCGGGGTCAGACAGAACGACTGCGATGTAGCGTGGATTTCTCATCGTACTCCATTTTCTTATTGATTATCCCCTGCGCCAGTGCCCGTGTCCAGGCGCCCGAAGGACAGTCAGGGTTCTCCTTTTCCCTGCATGAGGCTGGCGGCGGGCTGACCTTTCAAAATCAGCGCAATGAACCATCAGCACACCACAGGTTTACGACCATGTTGCGAGCTGCTGCTGACTCCGAGGATTACGACAGGCTTTGTGGCGACTGGCTTGCGCAAGCAGGCGAGCTTCAAATAACTGCGACGGGATCCCAGGAGAGGAGTAGTGGACAGCCTAGTGCATGCTGAGAAAGGCATCGCGTAACATAGCAGAGAGAAGGCTTAGACCAAGTCCCACTCTTTGCAAAAGCAGTTCGGAGGAGAGCCAGGGCGAACCCTCAGACAACATCAGTGCCCATGTGCCCGTCCCAGAATCAAGCAGCTTGCGAAGACGAGGACACTGCAGACCGTGTTTCATGTCGCCCAGGTCCTGGGAGCACGAGACAAAGCCCATCAGGCGCCTACGAGGCTCGGAGTGGAACCTCGCGCTAGTGACACACACACACACACCTAGAGAGCATCCGACGGACCGCCAAGGGAATGTACATGCAGGAACGAGCAGACATAGGTTTGACACGGGGGAGCATTTGGGCCAGGTCAGACTATCTGACGCCTGAGGGCCAGTTTCCAATGCGGCGGACGAAGGCCAGCACAGGGGTTCGGCGTGGACCGAATAACGCTGCAGTTTGGACATATACGGATTCGGAGCGTCCGTGCGCTCACGCAAGCTCTGTAATATCTGAGAAGACATCTTGTCGTGGAACTCAATATTTTGGGGAACGCAAGACATGGGCACCCAGCCAGCGACACGGCGGACAGGACACCTGTCGTCTTGAATTACCCTGTGACGTACCCAACCCATTTGTATCATGGGAAACGGGGGGTTGGCCGAAACTTGCATGGACAATCAAATTGCACGATCCGTTGTTCGATATGTAAGCTACTTGGGACACGCGCCTACGGCATGATGCGCAGGAGAACCATACAAGAACGAGGGGCGACAACTACAGGCTCGAAGAGGGCATGGGGAGTCGGGAACGAAGAGCAGGAGAAAGACGTGCGGGAAGCCCACTGTGCTGGGCCCCCCAGCAGGCCTCGAAAGTGGCGACAGTTTCACAGATCGCAGCCCCCCAGGGATGGCGAGGTCCAATTTCAATCCGCCGTGTGTGCCCACTGCGCTGGGCCCCCCCAGCAGGCCTCGAAAGCGGCGACAGTTTCACAGATCGCAGACCCACAAGGATGGCGAGGTCCAATTTCAATCCGCCGTGTGTACCCACTGTGATGGGCCCGATGATATACCGCCAGATTTTTGGATAGTACTTGCCAATAGCGACGAAGCGTGCGCAGCATTACTACGGGTATGCCAAAAATGTTGGGAAACGAAAGACATTCCAACGAAATGGAGGAGAGCCAACGTTGTTTTGTTACTTAAAAAAGGCGACGCAACCCTCCCAAGCAACTATAGGCCGATCTCGTTGTTGGCCGTGGGGTACAAAACTTTGGCTTCGATGATACACCGGCGTCTTATACAAGGAGGGTCAGAAGGAATAATGCGATCATCCCAGTTTGGCTTCCGCCCTGGGCGTGGCACGGCGGACGCACTGATGCTGATAAGGCGAATTATTGATGCAGCACACTCAAACAAGAACGATGGCATCTTATTGCTTTTGTTGGACTGGGCAAAAGCGTTTGATCGCTTGAAGCCAGATTGTCTCTGCAAAGCGTTGGAAAGATTTGGCCTGCCAGATCCTATGGTGCAGATGATACGGGGCATTTATTCTGAACGGTACTTCACTGTAGTTGACCACAGCGGGCGTTCGTCGGAACGCAGACAGTTTGCAGGAATTGCCCAAGGCTGCCCTTTATCACCATATCTTTTCATTG